TTCACTTGTAAGAGGTAGAACAGAGCGATACACTAGCAAAAGGGGGTGTATCGCAACAGTGCAGAGCGAGGTGGTGAGGCATAGCAGGTGTGTGTGTGTGTGTGTGTGGCAGAGTCGAGTAAGTCAGGTCGAGTGTGTGTGTGTGTGTAATGTGATTATTGTAGTGAATAATGGCCAGCCTCCCACACTAGGTATTATGTCCAATACTATCATGTGTTGGTGTTGCTGAGCGTCTGGACAAAATCCCACCAGACAATTTCCCAATGGACAAAATCCCTAAGTGGTTTCAAGGTTTAGTATTCATCTCGTCTACACCTAACCTACATAGCGTCTTAAGCTTCCTATTGACGTAATGTAACCCTCCTTGTTATATTATATCCGGAGTCTTGAACTATCTTTAATAACTCTCCACAAAGTGTAGTAAGTTACTGAACACAATCTTACCTGACTTAACAACTCGACATAGGACACACGGGTTTCTCAGAGGCATTATAACTCTCTCTCTCTCTCTCTCTCTCTCTCTCTCTCTCTCTCTCTCTCTCTCTCTCTCTCTCTCTCTCTCTCTCTCTCTCTCTCGTTAGGTTGTAATCATATTGTGGCCTTAAAGAACTTCAGTTATTTGTTATAAATTAACTTGGATGATGGTTTAGCATTTTAGGGAGAAGAAAGGAAAGGGAGAATAAAGGGAGCGAGGACTAAAACGATAAGAGAGAGGGCGAATAAGGGAGAGGGAGAATAAGGAAGGGAGAGAACTAAGGGAGATAGAAAATAAAAAATGGAAAATAAGGATGAGAACAAACAGAGAGAGAGATGAACAAGAGATGGGAAAAAAGAGAGGGATAAAACGAGGAAGAATAAGGAAGAGGGAGAAGACGAGGTAGAACTGTGAGGGAGAAAGGTGGTGGTGGCGCATCAGTGGAGGGGTGTGACAAGCATACTCTCAGCCGCCTTGTGTGTGTGTGTGTGTGTGTGTGTGTGTGTGTGTGATCCAGAAGAGGAATCGAAGAAAGCAGAGGGGATTAATGAAATTCAGGAACACCTGAGTAGAGAAGATGGGGGAGGAAGGAGAGAAAGGAGGAGAAGAGGAAGGGAGAGAAGGAAGGAGAGTGGTGTAGGGCTGGCTTAGGCCAACCAGCTGAAACAAGGGTGTGAGGAAAGAGGGCCAGGACGTACGTTAATCAGACAACAGACGAGAGAGAGAGAGAGAGAGAAGCTGCTATATCTGAGCCATCACCACATAAAGACGTCTCAAGTGGCCACCATTATAACACCCAACACCTCAATTCTCAAAGTTTACGTAAGATTATTTTTTTTTTCCTCGTAAGTGAACCTATAAGAACCGACTGACTTTACCTGATAACAAACATAGATTCTTAATTAGTTTTACGTTGAATAAATCCTTGTCAGGTAATGAAGGTAAGGAAGCATATAGATGGATGACTTGAGGTTAATCATCAAAATAACCTCCAAAAATGATATTCTATTTACACACACACACACACACACACACACACACACACACACACACACACACACACACACACACACACACACACACACACACACACACACACACACACACACACACACACACACACACACCTCTGCTGCTGTCTCCGTCACGCTGCATTCTGTGCATTTTGTTTTAGCCAATCAGTGTGCTGGTGTGATGTAACTCTTAACCACACCCAAAGTTCCCAGTGTTGAGTGCCAGAAGTGTGGGGAGGAGGGGGAGGATGGTGAAGGAGATAGGAAGAAGAAGAAGAGGAGGAGGAGGAGGAGGAGGAGGAGGAGGAGGAGGAGGAGCTAGGAAGAAGAGGTTGGGCTGTGGACTCATGCCAGTTAAGACACTAACAAGATGAACCCTTCTGATCACTTGAAGAGAAGCTTAAATCTTTTCCACCTAAGATGATGCCAACTTTCCTCTCAGTGATCAAGGATAACCAGCGTCAAGGGAGAGTGGATCCTATTAGCCTTCATGACATACAGTTAGGGGCGGTACGGATGCAGCACACTGAAGGAATAAGGTCTTAGTAGCAGGGACTTCGATCGACCGCCTTTACACTCCCCACCCGACCCCAATCCGTAAGTCAGATACCCTTTCACAGCTAGATGGACTCAGGGTGCCTCAGCGAGCTCAGTAACCAAGTCAGCCACCTCACCCCTCAAGAGGCCATAACTACCAACACTAATGACATAAAAGATAATTATCGATCTTGTAATCTTGTGACACATCTACATAATAATCAAGTTCGGTTATAGCGCAGTTACCGTGTTAACAACTCAGCGAGGGACATAAAACCAGGGATACCTAACAACCTAACCTAACCTAACCTAACCTAAGACACGTTTTAGTCCTGTCAATCAACTGGGTGAAGATCAGAGCACAAATCTTGCTCTTCAACACACACCAATTACAACTTACCGTATACACCTTAACATGTACACATTTAATAGTACTGACACTAATTAATTTATACATATTTCATAAGACTTACCTGTATGTAGGATAATTAACAATATCAGTCAGGTAGAGTGGCGCAGCATCAACACAATTAAAATCTCGCCTAAGAAGTGAAAACTAGGCAGAAAGAGGAGGCAGGAAGCATCATCTCGCATCGTGTGTGTGTGTGTGTGTGTGTGTGTGTGTGTGTGTGAGATACCAACGTGCGCCGGTAACAAACACACATAAGCAATATATTTATTACACCAACAAAACTGAGTGAGTGTGACGTAGTGATAATAACAATAACAAAAAGAAAAAAATAACAACAACAAGAAATAACAGTTACGTCATAAAAACAATAAAAGTGACGTCATATAATCAATAACAGTGACGTCATAAAATCAATAACAGTGACGTCATAAAACTAATAACAATAACACTAAGAATAACAAGAAATAACAGTGATAATAACGAGTTGAGTACAGCGTGAGGGAGTCAGGAGGAAGGGGTATAACAGCCTTGGCGGGTCACTCATACCTGTGAAGAATACATGAGCTTCTGTACCTGTGTTATGTATCACCTGAACCCCTGACCCACTCACTCACTCACTCACCCACCCACCCACCCACCCACCTTCCTTCCTTCCTTCGTTCGTGATACTTGGCTCATCACCCACCTTGCCAACCCACCCCTTATGATAGTTGGCACACTACCCATCCTTCCACCTGATACCTGGCCCACCACCCACCCCTCATCATACCTATCCTACAACCCACCCTCATCATACCTGGCCCACCACCCATCCTCAGGGAAAAAAACCCCCCCATGATATACCCTCACATACCTGTTTTAACCTCCTCCCCATAATGACGAAATAATATGATAACGTTTCATTTCACTCCCTCTCCCCCCTACTTATAACGACCCACCGGCTGTAAGGGACACGAGTCAGCTAGCAGAAGTTAGCGAAGTTTGGCGGAGTTGAGGTGACATAAAGCAGGTTAAAGGCAGGAGGTAGAGAAGGTAGGAGTGAGGGAGGGAGTGAGGGAGTGAGGGGGGAGGGAGTGAGGGAGGAGGGGAGGAGGGAGGGAGGAGGGGAGGAGGGGGAGGAAGTGAGGAGGTTGGGGGAGAGAGGGGAGGGGAGGGGCTTCGTGACGCCCACCGACTCTCCGTCAGCAGTTAAATTGAACGGGAGTCGTTAAGGATGTCTCTCAGTCCCTCACCAGCAGGCACTAGGTCACACGGGGTATTAGGGGATGGGGGAGTGTGTGTGTGTGTGTGTGTGTGTGTGTGTGTGTGTGTGTGTGTGAAAAAATAATAAAATTTATATATTCCCGACAGGTGTTCCTCCCTCACCCCCCCCCTCACCTGGGCACTTGACTCACCTGTTTCATTAACTTCATGTATTTGTCTTAGTAAATCATATATTCTATTTCATCATCACCTATGTACTTTTCTTTCCCTTATGACATTTTTATATGCTTGATTTTTTATTTTATTTTTTTATTTAAGCAATGTAAACGTTGAACCTTTTGTCATAAGTAAGAGTTAGTGATATCCTTTATTATTATTATTATTATTATTATTATTATTATTATTATTATTATTATTATTATTATTATTATTATTATTATTATTATTCCTCAATTACTTTCTCACCATTACCTCCCTCACCCATTTTCTCTGCATCTCTTTTCTCCCACAATTTCTCTCCCTCACTTTCTCTTCCTCACTCTCTCTCTCTCTCTCTCTTCATAACTTTCTATACCTCACCTTCTCTCCATCATTTTCTCTCACTCCGTTTCTCACCCACCACCATTCCTTCCACCACAATTACTGGTAAAGAACTGGTGAAAGGCCTCCAGTCACTACCAGGACGTCCACCACCACCCTGATAAGAGAGAGAGGGAGGGGAGGTAGAGATAAGACGAGAGAGAGAGAGAGAGAGAGAGAGAGAGAGAGAGAGAGAGAGAGAGAGAGAGAGAGAGAGAGAGAGAGAGACCTCCCCGGCTCTCACAGGAGTTATCAATAAGGTAAATTAATATACAGGTCAGGTAGGGCGATGGCCACCTCCAGTCTACCCGAGTTGTGGCCATTCCCAACCTATATAATTGTGGCCAACCCTCCATCGTACGTTAGTTGTGGCCATTTCATAGCCTAGACGAAATGTGGCCATCATCCTAGCATTCCTAAGTTGTGGCCATCTCACCTAATCAGTGTCGTGGCCACCTTCTCCCTAAGCCAGTCTACCTGAGTAGTGTGGCCACATCGACTCGGCCTGGTAGCGTGGATTAAGGTGGTGGTGATGGCCACATAGATCCCAGGTAAGCGACACTCAGGTGGCTAGCGGCAAGTGCTCCACGAGGTATATAAATAACGCTAAACACAACCACTCAACTATATACTTACATACATATATCTATACGTACATGTGTGTGTGTGTGTGTGTGTGTGTCGACATAATAGGTGACCGTCTCGCTCATGACCTCAGGGGCAAACTTGGCAATTACTACACACAAAACTCCTCCACACTAATGTTGGCAACAAAAACCTCATGACAGGCAAAAAGTTGGCCAACGGAGGCAAGATTACCAATGTAGTTGTTGTGTGTGTGTGTGTGTGTGTGTGTTTCTTCCTAAACAGAATATGATGGGTGAACAACAGAGAAGGGACCGGTGACAGTGAAGGGACGGGTGACAGCGAAGGGACGGATCAGAGCTAGCAGGAAGGGGCTGCCATCCTCCCGCTGAACTTGCAAGAAATTGCAATTTGCAGCCTGGCAGAGCGTTCCCTTCAGGGTGGGCCTTTACCTCGCTGCTCGCGTTGCCGAACTGTCTGTCTGTCTGTCTGTCTGTCTGTCTGTCTACAAGTGGGATAAATCCTTACACTCACAGCCCCGTCCGGGACTGAGTGTGTCAGATGGGCGATGGCTGACTATTATATCAAGTCCTTTTATTTATTTCATCTTTTTTTTTTTACGTTGTGAAAGGTCGATTGGGCCCTTATTGGTTAGGTTAGGTTAGGGCCAAGTAGGATTGGGGTCCACTTGACTTGCGCATATCACCCAATGTAGTGTGTGTGTGTGTGTGTGTGTGTATACGGACTAATGATCATTGCTGTACACTCTACAGGTGGACTTAAAAAAACAACACCAATCACAGGTCTTCCCCCCAACAAGGTAAAGTCTCATTACACGCCTGTTGGAAGCTACACACCGAGTCTAAACATCCCTACTACAGCTCAGAGTCACAGGGCAGCCAGGTAGACTCCAGCGGCTCGTTATCTGAACCATGGAATGAGGCTATTCTCCCTGTCTCTACGTTACAAACCAAACCTAACCTAACCAAACCAAACCTAACCTAACCTAACCTAACCAAACCTAACCCAACCAAACCTAACCAAACCTAACCAAACCTAACCTAACCTAACCTAACCTAACCTAACCTAACCTAACCTAACCTACCCTCCAGACATTAACACCGTGATTCCTCGTGTCCCTGTTGAGGTAAACGAACGATCATATAAGCAAATGGTAATGTGTAAGTAGAGTAGACAGTGGCTATGAAACAGGAAGATATATATATACTATGTATGGTATCTACATAACGATAAGACAGAAGAAGGTACAGTATTCATATGTATATCTGGCAAATCACTACAGCAGAACTATGTATTAGGAATCAGTAGGTCCAGGTTACATACAATATTTAAACGAAAAAAAAAACATTACCTGACTTGAGTTGTGTACGTGTGTGTGTGTGTGTGTGTGTGTGTGTGTGTGTGTGTGTGTGTGTGTGTGTTTTGGTGATTGTTTTTACGTGTGTCATGTTCACTCACTCTCTACCTCCCTCACTGTCAAGATACGTCACGAAGCCCAGCCCAACAATGGACCAACCTCATGCACAAGTCACCTTCTTGCCTGAAAATCTCACCTGGGATCCAATTTAGGTCGTGGAGGCTGAGGCCCTTGTCCGAGTGTGTCCCAAGTGTTCCCTCCCTCTGAGTAACCACGTGAGGTACCGTTTATTTACATTATTATTATTATTATTATTATTATTATTATTTTTATTATTACTAACTTTATCATGATTAATGCTTCTGCTCTTATCACTATTATTATTATTTTTCTTGTACATTCAGCGGGGTAAGTGAGACCGGCTGGCACACGTAATGGAATTTCAATAGAGTGTGGGAACGCCTGGTGACGACTATACCTCCTGAGCCTCTAAAAGCTTATAATTTCCTCCCAAATCTCCAGCAGAATGTCAAACACAACCCGGCCCACATTACCCACCTGTAATACCTTCAGTGACGGTAATTATTTGATGTTAATACCTGAGATTTACTGCTTAACAACCACGGCATCATCAAACACATAACACGAACAAAGGAAGAAAGAATTATTAGCTCTAATAACTTAAACAAATGAGTAAAAACAACTGGAAAAATATTACTGACAACAGACTATCGACCCAGGGGACATATTTGGTGACCTTTTTCTCTAATGATCTTGACCTCTGATCTATTAATCTCCTAAATATGATGGGTCTTGGAGGTGGGGGGGAGGGGGAGGTTAAGGTATGATTATTGTGTTAATTATTGGTTATTGTAGGTCTTTGTGATATGTTGGTGTCTGCCTGTCTGTCAAGTAATAACCTCCGCTGAGAGAGGCTGCTTGACACACACACACACACACACACTAAAAGTATACGTATGTCTCCCCGAGTTAATGCGTCATCACAGGATCCTAAGTTAACACTCCGCGAAAAAAGGTAAACTCATCACACAGGTAAACACATCACACAGGTAACACATCACACAGGTAAATTCATTACACAGGTAAACACATCACACAGGTAAACACATCACACAGGTAAATTCGTCACACAGGTAAATTCGTCACACAGGTAAGCTCATCACACAGGTAAATTCATCACACAGGTAACCGAGTGAATGATAGGGACAAGTTCATACGTAAACACGACTTCAACATGTATTATACTAGGTGGTACTAGGTAGTGGTAATCAGGAGGCACTTCAAGAATACCACCAGGGACCAGTTACAGTTTTAGCCGAGTTAATACCAGGGTACAAGTCTATTATTAACAACAACAACAACAACAACAACACAGATTATTTAAATACGCTCCACAAATTTGTCCCCAAATAATTAGTAGTACAATAAAACTTAATTACAATTACCGAAAAGATTATAGAAAACAAAAAATTAGGTGACTAGTTTTCCCAGACTCATTACTCATTCACTGTAATTAATTGTCAATGAGTGGCTTAATTGCGGCAATCATGAGGGTAATTTGTTATGAAAATTATTTACGTATTTCAACAGCCGAATTTTCCTTCCTTTCCGTTCCGTTCCGTTCCGTTCCGTTCCGTTCCGTTCCGTTCGGTTAGGTTTTGTTCAAATATTATCTGCACTGGTCTTAAAAATTTAGTGACATTTTAAGGTAAAGTAATGTGATGGTTCTACTGTACAACATATGAGACACTAACAGCTCCATCTATGGGTACACAGACCATCGGGGACTCGTTCTAGCAGCTCTGGGTCTCATGAGGGAACACGTACTCTTGTTCGTGGCTGTACTGTACATTCATAAAGTACAGGTACAATAATTACAGGTAAAAAGTACAATTACAGTAAAAACAGGAGAAGCTGGGGGTGAGGTCGGGCTGGGGGTGAGGTCGGGCAGTATGAAGATTGGGGTGAGGTCGGGCGGAGTGAGGTCGGGTTTAGGAAGAGAGCGAGGAAGGGCAAGTGGGTAAGGTCGGGCTGGGTGAGATAAAAGCCCTAGGGAGCGGTAGATTGAAAGGCTTAAGAGAGAATTAGGGAGAAAGTCGTGTGTGTGTGTGTGTGTGTGTGTGTGTGTGTGTGTGTGTAATATACATACGACCAGATACAACTCAAACACACTTACGAGAATGAGTGCAAGAGTGACTGAGTGAGTGAGTGGATGAGTGATTAAGCGTGTATGCGTGAGTGATTAAGTGTGTATGAATGAGTAAGTGAATGAGTGTGTATGGGTGAGTGAGCGAGTGTTAGCTAGTGAGTGAATGCGTGTGATTGCGAGTGAGCGAGTGTTAGCTAGTGAGTGAATGAGTGTGATTGAGAGTGAGTGAGTGAGTGAGTGAGTGAGTGTTATTGAGTATAATAAGTGAATGAGTTAAGTACGTTATTGCTCATTACAACAGTGAGTGAGGCGAGAGGTTACAGTTACTGCGGAGAAACCTTTAAATGTCAAGGCTTGTTCAGGTATATTTTTAAAACCCGCGGCCGCCACATCTGGACAAAACTGCACTCATCTTCCTCACCTAGACCACCATACTGCCTCACCTAACTGTCTCACCTAACACCACTACCTTATCATAATGCGTGGAATGATTGGGTGGTAGTGGTGGTAGTGGTGGTGGTGGTGGTGGTGGTGGTGGTACCTCTTTATTCTCCTCCCTCCTTTGCTCCCTTTCTCTCTCCCCACCTCTCCCCTCCCCCTCTTCCCTCTCATCTCCCCCTCCTCTACACATCACCACCACCTTAACGAGGCCTCAGACACAGCAGGTACAACAGAGAGGCACATTACAGCACCGCAGTACAGCACATTAGCGGAACTCTCTTGTACCACCTCCCCTCACGACCTTACCGGGGGGAGACACTGCTAGAGGGGAGGGGGGTAGGGTGAACGGGAGGGGAGGAGAGGAAAAAGGGTAGGGTGAAATGAGAGGGAATTGACGGGAAAAGGAGGAGAGGGGAGGAGGGAAAGGGAAAGGAGGAGGGGAGGTGAGGGGAAAGGGTGAGGAGAGGGGTTAAGGGGAGGGTAGGGAGGCCCACATTAAACACAATTTAAAGATTTACAACTCTTGTCATTTTCTATAACTTACGATCTCATCTCTAACGATTTACAAATGTGCCCTAAGTCATTTACAACTATATCTTACGTAATATATAACAACGCGTCCATACTCATTTACAACCAAGTATTTCTATTGATTTACAAATATGTCCTCGGTGATTTACAACTATGTATTTCCCTTAATTTACAACCATGTATCAGCAACAAGTGTTTTATATACCTCGCCCTAGGACAATTTACACCCAAGCGTCTTCAAGTTATTTACAGAATGTGACCACGAGTAATTTACAACACACTATAGTCCACCCTGTAATATAACCCACAACCCCTGAGTTATACCATTTTCTGTTGTAAATACACCTGATCAAAAAGAGTCCTTCGTCGTCTCCTGCAAATCTCTGTCATAAAGCAGCTACTTACATCGATTCCTCGTCCAAAAGGCGAAGAGAAAAAGCGTTCATAAAAGTTCATAAAGGCTTAATGGCACACGGGTAAAAATGGGTAAATTAATGGGTGTAAGCGCCACTAAGATTGCATAAATTGTGGCGTACACGAGAAAGCACTGTGCATGATACTGTAGGAAGTTATTGCTAAGCTGCACGAATGACGCGGACGTGATATTTTTTCGTATATGCATAAATGAGTATAGAAATTTTTTTGGGGGGGTTTAGTCATATAAATTATACAGTAATATATATTTTTAGGTATATACATTTAAGTAGAATATAAAGGCCTATTCAGACCCTAACTAAATATTACTCTATATATATTCTAAACACACACACACACACACACACACACACACACACACACTCGGACCAAAAACAGTATGGTGCCATCTTTAAACACTTGGCACTATTCCTTAATATTGCACTCAGCCAAACGTAAACGATATGAACTGGAAACCAACAGGTGATTATTGTATTACCTGGTGACAATGTTGTATGATTAAGTGTATTAAGTGGTTACTGTGCTGTGTGGTTACTGTATTACGTGGTTACTGTATTACGTGGTTACTGTATTACGTGGTTACTGTATTACGTGGTTATTGTATTACGTGGTTACTGTATTACGTGGTTACTGTATCAAGTGGTTACTGTATTATGTGGTTACTATATTACGTGGTTACTGTATTACGTGGTTACTGTATTACGTGGTTACTGTATTACGTGGTTACTGTATTACGTGGTTACTGTATTACGTGGTTACTGTATTACGTGGTTACTGTATTACGTGGTTACTGTATTACGTGGTTACTGTATTACGTGGTTACTGTATTACGTGGTTACTGTATTACGTGGATATTTTATCACCTGGTTAGTATGTCACAGCGGCAGGTGGGAGCGGCCTCACTAACCGGCCAGGTATCTAGTGTACACAGAGGCATCTACTACACTAACACCTAACTTATAGCGGCTTGAGGAAGATTACAACAGGAATTCAGTACGAAGGAGGAGTATCGTGGGAAGTTTGGTGTTACAGGTTCAGAGTTTACGGTGAGGAAGATTGTAGGAATTTGGGTGTCAAGGCGGGAGGGAGATGGCGGGAATTAGGAACCCAAGAGGAAGTACTTGGGAATTTGCGTGGGAATTGGGTGTTGATGCTGGGAGATTTAGCGATTTTACGTTCGAGTTGATGTCACTGGCGATAATTTGGCGATTTGGTGTTGAAGTTTGTGTTATTGGCGATTTTGAGAATTTTAGTGAAGTTGAAGCTTTTGGTGGGATTTTTTTTTTTTGCGATTTTGCGTTGACTGACTGCTATTGGCGGAAGATATCGCGAATTTACGATTAACTTGTTACTACCGAAAGAAAAAGATAAAACACCGATTTTTTTTTACCGATATCTACAGTAAAAAGCAAAATCGGTGCTGCTTGCGGAAGCCTTGAGAGAAAATTTTGGGGGAGCAACTTGCGGAAAACTGCGGGAAATCGGCCCGGCTGGCGGAAATTTGCAGTAATCTGGCTCGGCTGGCAGGAAGAGGAAATAATCTGGCGTCGTGGGCCGGATACAGCGGGAATTCTGAAGCTGTTGGTTGGAATTTTCCTGAGTGTGGATAAGGGAGCATCGTCGTATCCCATTAAACGTTTTAGGATTTTTTTGTTTTTGTCGGAATTTTTCGATGTCTCAACTGAGTATAACAGATGGAAGAGTTTTTTTTAGGGGGAGGAGGGAGGAATTGACTTGTTTCTGGGAATTTTAATGGGAATTTGTTACTGCTATTTGGGAATTAAACTAGGAAACTTGGAATTTGTCCGAGTTACCGGGAATTAAAACTGGGATACTGAGAATTCATCTGTTACTGGGAATTTAAACTGGGATATTAGGAATTAATCTCAGTTATTGGTCTTGTTGGTGAGGATTTATCTAAGATTAACTGTCATACACTCCGGGAATTGAATAGAATTAATGATAGAAAAAAAATCCAAGAATCAGGCTTTGATGATGGGAATTTCGTAAAGAATTTGGTATGATTGGAGAGACTTTACCACAGTTAAGCACTTTACAGTCTCAGGTCTTTACGAGAATTGAATGCAGCCAGTTGAGAATTTTTGGGGGGAAATTCAGAGACAAAAGAACAAAGTTTTAGGAATGTTGGAATGGCCGGTGGGAATCTGGCTCCAGCGTAAAGAGCTTATTGAGTCCAGCTCCACTTTCCGTGTCTTACTGGAATTTGGAATTTTTTTTTAGGAATCTGGAAAAGTTTTTAGGAATGTGGATATTTTTAAGTTAGGTTAGGTTAGTTTAGGTTAGGTTAGGTTAGGTTAGTTTAGGTTAAGTTACACGATAAAATTTGGACCCTAAACGGCAGTTGGATTTGTTTTCAGCGTGTGTGGATTCGCCCACTGCGGGATATGCGCCGAGGTACATTAAGGATTCGCTTTGATGGCTGCGTTAAACTACCAGCCTCTACCCCCCACCTTACACTGACCTATGTGAGGAAGACTCTGGGATAAATATTTTAACCTTCGTGAAAAAAGATCTTGCTAGTCGTGAACAGAAATGACCAACGTTAAATATATTTCCAATCACATCCCCTTACAGATAACAGCTAACCCAACCCAACCCAACCCAACCCAACCCAACCCAGCCCAACCCAGCCCAATCCAACCCAACCCAACCCAACCAAACAAATTCCTTTTTACTTCTTATATATAATTTTATTTTTCCTCTCGGCCATCGATCGTGTCTGTTGTTGGGGTCATGCCCGCTGGAAGTGTGTCATCAAGGTCCAAGTGAGGTGGGGGAGGGGGAGGTGGGGAAGGGGTGAGGGGATAGGGAAGGGTGAGGATAGGGGGGAAGGGTGGGGTCAGGAGAGAGTGATGGTAGGGGAAGGGAGGTGGTCAGAGGTCGGTCATAAACATCAACATGGACACTACACCAAACCGTCACACCACCATCACCATCACCACCTCACACTACCACCATCACCATCACTACCACCACCACTACCACCATCACCACCACCATCACCACCACCACTACCACCATCACTACCACCATCACCACCACTACCACATCACCACCACTACCACCATCACCATCACTACCACCACCACTACCACCATCACTACCACCACCACTACCACCATCACCATCACTACCACCATCACCACCACTATCACAACCACTACCACCATCACAACCACATCAACACACTCACTACACTTTACCACAACACCATCGCCACACCTATCGCCACACCATCATGCTCATTACACCTTCACTACCACAGCTACACCATACACCCCCCCCCAAAAAAAAGGCTTGACCACCTATGAATCAATCGTCTCTGCCCAGGTAAGTGACCAGTGTAATTTATTAATCCAACACTACTTTACCTCTAGATATACATACTCCCAGAGGCTGTGTATGCATTCTATACATATACATAATTTAATACACCAATTACACCCCCCCCAAAAAAAAAAATACCCCAATACTATTAATGTAAAAAAAAAAATACAAAATACTGATAAAAATAACCGCCCACTTTTAACCATCTGTAATTTGCATATAATTTCTGATTCTGTTTAATTTTTTCTTTAATTCGCTCGATTAATTTTTCACGATAAGGTCTAGTTATTCCATCAGAGGTTTAATTACGCTGAAATATACACCAAAGACACACAGTTTTATCCCCGCTGTTGTTATATAAATCTCCTCAAATTTATATTATTTTCTTATGTTCTTATCAGCTAGGGGTGTGGAGGGTGGAAGAGGGGGGGTGGGGATGGTAGGGAGGGGGTGGAGTGGGAGGGGGTGGGGGGTAGGTTGGGTGATGGTTGACAGCTTTCCATATTGTTGACCAACCTTGTTATCGTGTCTTCCCCTTTTCCCTAAATTACCCATTAGTGTCTGTGTATTATCGTCTCTCTCATCCCTACTTCCTGTGAGAGCTGGAGCTTACATACATAAATACATACATACATATATACATACATACATACATACCACTTCCGCATATTATAAAGTAGAAACACACACACACACACACACACACACACACACACAATCCTCCTCACGACCAGATAAACTGACTCTTGACTCAAATCAATTTACCTGATAACCTTTATATTCACTTTTTAATTAATTCAGATACCTGGGATTATTTCTTATAGCCAATCACAAACGTATAATTAGTTTAAGATTCACTTTGCATATTATGTGTGTGTGTGTGTGTGTGTGTGTGTGTGTGTGTGTGTGTGTGGTCACTTTCTACACTCGTCGTGCATCTCATTAATTTCCTAACTTTATTTTTTTAGGTTTTTGCAGAGAGAGAGAGAGAGAGAGAGAGAGAGAGAGTTTGAAAATGTGAATAATAGACGAAAAGATAAGGGAAATTTTCTAAATATATATGAATTCCTTTAGCACGGTCAACACACCACTCAGGTCAGGTTAGGTTAGGTCAGGTCAGGTCAGGTTAGGTTGTCACAGTGATGTCAGATATAACTTCTATATACTGTCCAGATCTCTACCTCAGATAAATGGTCAAGTGTTGTTATTGGTTCACTAAAACCTGACCTAACCTCACGTTACAAGTTTATCCTTAACAAAAAAAAACAAAAATACTGATTAATAGCTTTTTGTTTTTGAGTTAATACAGTGCCGTGTAATTGAGCCAAGCCTTACAGTATATAACCTGTATCCCGTACTGTACCGTGGGTCAATCTTCGTACACTCTTAATTACGACAGGTACAGGTAAGGTTTATTATAGGTCAGCCATGGAATATATTTAGTTAATTTCTCCACAGTTTGGTAAGTACAAGAATAGCTCAGCAGTTATCCAGGCAGACGAGGGACAATACCTCTTCCTTTTAACGGTAAGTCATTCGTCGGTAAAAGCGGACGAGAAGTATTTTTGTAGAACTATAAAGTACAATGTTGCTGGAGTTCTGAGGTTCTTAACAAATATTACGTGGTGATGGCGGACGGTAAAAAAAGGACAGACAGACAGAGACAAAGAGACAGACAGACAGGAAGGCTTGTGTAGGGCGTTCCTCTCTCCGCTCTACAAATATACACAGTAAATATTCCTTTATTTACATCATTATAAATTCACCAGAAACCGTAGATGGTAAATATTTATATGTGTGTATTCAGTGTAATGGACCGTAATAGCCGTAAAGTACTGCCGGATGCTTTCTTCTTATTTCAGGAAAGATGTGTTTTTTTCGGGTAATTATACAGTAAAAAGTATATATTTACTCGCTCACCATCAATGTGTGTATTATTTACCAATTAACAGGTGAGATAAACTACAGCAACCAGGTAATAAAAAGAAATACAAGTTTACATTATACAAATTTATACATTAAGGATAAGAGAACATTATTTTTTTTACTATTTAGCTCCTAGAAAAATCTTACACCTACACACACACACGTCGCATGTGTGTGTGTTTGTGTGTGTGTGAGTGTGTGGGTGTCCAGGATACTACTCGAGGCATCACCACCGTCACAAGGACATCACCAGCAGTCACCGTCACATCCTGTCGTCACCAACACCGCCTACATCGCCTCCGTCAACAACACCAGCACACCGCCTCCGACGTTCAGCACAACACTGCCTGACACCAGCACCGACACCAGTCACCAACAGACACCCAGACACCAACACTTATGCCGACACCAGCACCGCCTCCAGCACCGACTCTGACACCAACACCGCCTCCAACACCGCCTCCAACACCAGCACCGCCTCCACACAGCGCCTCCAACACCAGCACCGCCTCCAACACCAACACCGCCTGTTAACAACACCGCCTCCGTCAACACCGCCTCCGTCAACAACACCGCCTCCAACACCAACACTGACACCAACACCGCCGCCGACACCAACACCGCCTCCGACAGACCAACACCGCCTGACACCAACACCAGCACCACCTCCAACACCAGCACTGCCAACAACACCGCCTCCAACATCAACACCACCGGCACCCAGCACCGCCCCACAGCACCGCCTCCAACACCCACCGCCAACAACAACACCGCCTCCAACACCGCCTCCGTTAACAACACCGCCGTCAACAACAACACCTCCTAACAACACCGCCTGTCAACAACACCGCCTCCGTCAACAAACACCGCCTCCAACACCCCACAACAACACCGCCTCCGTCACAACAACACCGTCAACAACACCACCCCTAACAACAACACCAACACCGCCTGTCAACAACACACCACGTCAACACACCGCCCTCCGTCAACAACACCACACAACAACACCACAACACCAACCGCCACCACAACAACACACACCGCCTCCAACACACACCGCCTCCAACACCAACACCAACACCTAACACAACACACACGCCTCCGCACAACACTCAACAACACCGCCTCCGTCAACAACACGCCTCCGTCAACAACACACCTGCCTCACCACACCGCCTCCAACACCCCACCAACACCGCCTCCAACAGCAGCCGCCTCCGTCAACAACACCGCTCCCACACACCGCCCAACAACAACACCGCCTCCAACACCAGCACCGCCTCCGTCAACAACACCGCCTCCAACACCAGGAGAGTTACCCCGGCGGTCACAGCAACAAGAGACATCAGCTGCAGGTTGAAGAGTCACGTAAACTTTGAGTCACATACCTTGACGATGCAGCTGCCCTAACTTAGCTGGGCTGACTTAGCTTAGCTGGGGTAACTTAGCTTAGCTGGGCTGACTTAGCTTAGCCGGCCTGACGCGACTTATTTAACCGGCTTCTTATGACTTATTTAGCCGGCCTGACATGACTTAGCCGTCTTGACATTGCTCCTCCGGCCAGACATGCCTGACATGACACCCAAATGTAAGGGTGTCAGGTCCAGGATGACACCCCTGATACCAGAAATTAATGGTGTCAGGACCAGGATACTACACCTGACACCCTCAAGGCTAGGCTGGTATACTAGTCACCCTTATATTAACGTTATCTGGGCCAGGGTGACACACTTGACACCATGATGACATAATTATCACAAAACATAAATGGTGTCAGGTTCATTATGACACCAACAATTAACGGTGTGAGGGCCAGTAGCACTATGGCCGAGTGACACAGTAGCACTATGGCCGAGTGACACAGTAGCACTATGGCCGAGTGACACAGTAGCACTATGGCCGAGTGACACAACGGCACTATGGCCGGGTCTCAACATAGTGGTCCGTCGATTAATTGATTTTAACTGTCTGGTTCTGTAGGTCAAATACACCCAAGTTCTGTGACATTTTATAACACAGTCAAGAACCAGGTCAGAGGTAAGTCTTTCACCCTCAGGTCAGGGGGTCACGAGGGTCACACACTGTCCACTTTGCGTCAACTTCTCGTCGACACTCAACTTAACCCCAAAAATTGATCTTTTTCTTCCAACCTGAGCACAGGTAACAATTGTCTTTTTTTTTTCAATCAACAATTTATTAAAAATATATTTCAAGTTATAGATCATGTAAATAAACTAAAGCATTATTTATAATCATACATTTTTTCTTTCGTTATTGATGGTATCCGAATTTAGGAAATATAGGTCCCGATCGGAGCGGACACGTGCACTCCCACCCACGTCCACACAGCAACTAAGGTGGTTCCGTCCTTGCCCGCCACTAGGATACTCACACGATGACCGCTGAGGAAAATTATCACAAGTTTTATTTTTCTACGCGTTTACCAACATTGTAAGAGCATCCCAATCTATTAGGGCGCCTACAGGGGCACGGGAGGAGGGAGTTTGAATCTACCGGAACCAATTTAGGAATTAGGCAGACCATGTAGTGCACGTACTGGGCTTATGGCCGGCGGCAACTGTCAATTCTGCTTTACTACACCGAGCATAGCGTGCGGAATACCTAACAATACTCCACGATTTTTACGCTACGGCTCATTTTAACCCAATTTTATCCTGGTGGCCGTCACGATGAGGCGATACCCTTACCACAGCGGCGCGAAGCTACAGTAGAGGACGGACCCGCGCTAACCACCAACTTCTGGAACTGGGACAATAGATGCAGCTCCCGTACGATGACCAGACGTGACTCCAATTGCATACAACCTGTTACGACTACGGCAAGGCGGGCAGACGAGCGCCTCTCGCTACACTTGGGTACTGACGAGCGCTTCTTGCTATACTTGGGGACTCGGTCGCTAATTCTCTCTTCCCCTCCCTCCCTCTCTCTCTCTCCATCTCTCCCTTCATCTCCCTCTCCCTCCCTCCCTTCATCTCCCGCCTCCCTCCCCTCCCTCCCTTCACTTCATCTCCCTCTCCTCCCCTCCCTCTCTCCTCCTCATCTCCGCCTCCTCCCTCCCTCTCCCTTCACTTCATCTCCTCTCTCTCCCTCCCCCCCTCCCCCTCCCCTCCCTCCCTCCCTCCCTCTCTCTCCCTCCCTCCCTTCATCTCCCGCTCTCCTCTCCCTCCCTTCATCTCCCGCTCTCCCTCCCTCCCTTCCTCGCCCTCTCTCACTTCTCCCTCCAAGTTTTGTACCTAACCCACCTTAACCTGTGTGTGATTTTGTTACTTCTCTCAGTGCCTTAATGTCCTTGCTCGCTAACTATACTGAGTCACATTTGTTATCATCAGTGTTCTTGTGTTTTTGTTTGACCTGTAGTTTTCTTGTGTGTTTGTTTGACCTGTAATTGTTGTTTTGACATTTGTTTACAGGTTTAGTTTACTCTCGTGTGTCTGTTGGTCTTTACCGCCTCAGTGCTTCATATATTATTTGGCAATTTTCTAGGATTAGTCAAGTGTAGTGGTCAATTCAGCTTCCTCCCTAACAACCAGCAGTTAGTGGAGGACGAAGGAAGTGATTAGAAGGAACCATGAAACCAGGGTGGGTGGAGGATGTGGGTGGAGGGACATCACTGCACGGGCACACCACAACCCCCCACATGACGTACAACATACAATAATAACAAAATAAAAATCAACATGCAACATTCCCTCTGAGTTAGTATTTAATATCTGTAAACCCGAGTTATTGAGCCATATACATCTGGTGTTTAATGACAGTACAAATATATAAAGGCTTCATAATAATATAAATCTCAATGTTTTTAGCAATCTCAATAAATTTGATATTACACAAACGACGGCTTAAATAATAATATAAATATCACTTTTAATAATAATAATAATGATAATAATAGTAATAATAACACATAATAATAATAATAATAATAATAATAATAATAATAATAATAATAATAATAATAATAATAATAATAATAATAATAAACCAGTTTACAATTACAAAAACGACAAAAAACGTAATTTCAAAAACACTATAAATCCGGATACAGCTACACGAACGAAAACCAACTTAAATAATAACACTACATCAAAATATTAATAATCGCATAAATCCGGATGCCCTTACAAGAACGCCAACCTCGGGTCTTGGTGACGGATGGCTGGTGTCTCGTGAAGCCAACTAGCGTGGTTCAGTATCTCGCCCGGGATCATAACTAATGGTAACTGTGCATATTATTTCTGTAAGGACGAACGTAATGGTGGGATGTGATGGTAAGGTAGGGAGGTGAGGTGTTGGGAGGTGAGGTGTTGGGGGGTGAGGGAAGGTGGGAGGAGGGAGAGGTGGGGGGAGGAGGAGGAGGAGTCACTGAGCCACGAATCGGTATATTTCCTAACCTAACCTAACCTAACCTAACCTAACCTAACCCCTATCTATCGTAACTAAACCCAAACACTCTCACATAAGGTAAACAAACTCGAGGATTCACTCTTAAAAATCCGAATCCGACTCCGGGTATTTTCAGGAAGTTGGAGTTGTTTTATCACTTGTTATATGGAGGAGAGCAGGAGGCAGGAGGAGGAGGAGGAGGAGGAGAGCAGAGCAGGAAGCAGGAGAAGAGCAGGAAGCAGGAGGGGGAGGAGAGAAAAGCAGGAGGAAAAGAGCAGGGCGGCGGAGGTGGTGGGACAGATACTGTACACAAGATCAACAGTGAGAAGTATTACCGTTACTCACACTGGTTAAGGGAGGCTTATGTATACAGTTTAATATTTCTACTAGACCACTTTTAGCCTGAGAGAGAGAGAGAGAGAGAGAGAGAGAGAAAAAAAAAATTGTATAGTCTCAACAAGGCATCGTTATCTTTTCCATCTTCACAATTTAAAACTTGGAACGAAAAGATTTGATATAAGTATGTGTATTCTCCAGTGTATTACCTTATGCCTGCTCCCCCATACACACGACACATGTATTCATAAAATATATGTAGGAATAAAACTTAAGGTATTTGGCAGTTCTCATCACGAAATTTTTTACCAGATTATTTGATCCACATGGCAGATAAAGGTGTTTACCAATAGAACAAGAACAGAGCTTAAAAGAACAAGAACAAGGCATAATAAAACAAGTATGGATCAACAGAGATAGAACAAATAACACACCACAACATAGACGAAGAACACATCAAAACAGACGAAAAACAAACCATAACAAGTCATAACAGCAAAGAATAATAAAAAAGGTTCAGTTCAGTTCAGTTCAGTTCAGTTCAGTTCAGTTCAGTTCAGTTCAGGAAACACTGAAAATAAACCCCACTACAGCTGAACCTTGATTCCATCCCCCAAACCCCCACAGGGTGTAAAAAAATATATTATTTGGGCAATTTTACAATAAATCCGTCAAGACAAACAGGTAAGGATGGCGGTACACACACACGATTGCCTGGGGTAAACACGGCAAGGAGGAGGAGGAGGTGAGGTGAGGAGGAGGAGGCGGAGGCAGGAGGAGGAGGCGGAGGAGGAGATGAACAAAAATGGAGAGGGAGAGTAGATGAGGGAGAGGAGTGGAGGAGGAGAAGGGGAAATATGAGAAGACGAAGAGGAGGAAGAGGATAACAGGAGGAAGAGGAGGGAGATGAGAGGGGGAAGAGGAGGAAGATTAGAAGGGAAAGAGGTGATAGATGAAAGGAGGAAGATAAGAGGAAGGAGATAAAAGGAAGATTATGAGAGATAAAGGAGGGAGGAACACAGGAATGAATGATGATGATGAGGGGAGGAAACGGCGAGAGAGATAAGAAGAACTGAGGGAGATGAGAGGAAGGAGAGAAGATAACTGGAGAGAATGTGATGGAAGACGTAGACAGGAGGAAGAACGGGATGAATGACGGAAGGAATAAAAGAAGGAAGAGCTGAAAGATAGAAAGGCACGAAGAAGGAAGGAAGGAAGGAAGGAAGGAAGGAATAGGATATAGATAGAATGGAGGAGTGAACACATTAAGGAAAGAAAGGATAAAGAAAAAAAAGGAATGAAGGATAGAAGAATGACGGCTCCTGGTGACCCCCCCCCCTTACCTGTAATATCTGTTCTCCCCAAGAAGAAATAATCACCCCGAGACACCTGAGACACATCTCCTTGAGGAACATTTGTCATCTTTGAAAAGGAGAATTTTTTTGGGAGCCCAAATTAAACGCCTGACCACAAAACTGTTAAGATTTATAATAACCAGCTGACAGTCGGGGGGGGGGGGGCTGAGGGCAGTTGGTGCCAGATTAAGGCCATGACCTTTAAGGGGGAGGGGGGTGACAACAAGCGGGGTCAGGTCACTCCCACGTCACCCTCAGCTGTAAGACACACCTCTGCTAGGGACAGGGTGTCAGGTCAAGCCGTATAACACACCTGAAACTCGATTCGAACTCGGGGACTCTAGATTGACAACTCAGTACAATAACCACTCCGTCACAAACTCACCTGGCGGGGAAGGTTCTCTGCTACAGGTAGATAGGTTTACAGAGTAGTACCTGGAGTGTTGACAACTAGTACCTGGTCTTACCTGGGGTCAGCGAGGATACACCTGGCCGCCACCAGCCAATCACTGGTCCTCCTCACAACACCCACCTGCCGAGGAATATATATATTAGTAAACAATAATAACATGAAATGAATATACAAATATATACTTACTCCCTAACAACCACCACTTCCTCCTTAACAACCACCACTTCCCTCCCTAACAACCACCACTTCCTCCCTAACAACCACCACTTCCACCCTAACAAACACAACTTCCACCCCTAACAATCACCACTTCCACCCTAACAACCACCACTTCCTCCTTAACAACCACCACTTCCACCCTAACAACCACCACTTCCACCCTAACAATCACCACTTCCACCCTAACAACCACCACTTCCACCCGAACAACCACCACTTCCACCCTAACAACCACCACTTCTCCTTAACAACCACCACTTCCACCTGAACAACCACCACTTCCACCCTAACAACCACCACTTCCTCCTAACAACCACCACTTCCTCCTTAACAACCACCACTTCCTCCCTAACAACCACCACTTCCTCCCCTAACAACCACCACTTCCCTAACAACCACCACTTCCTCCCTAACAACCACCACTTCCTCCCTAACAACCACCACTTCCTCCCTAACAACCACCACTTCCTCCCAACAACCACCACTTCCTCCTTAACAACCACCACTTCCTCCCTAACAACCACCACTTCCTCCCAACAACCACCACTTCCTCCCTAACAACCACCACTAACAACCACCACTTCCTCCCTAACAACCAC